TTTTTTTTTTTTTTTTTTTTTTTTTTTTCTTAGCGGCAGCTCTCAAAAGTCTACCTTGGGGTTCTTAAAACGCAACCGTACACCATTTCACTGTGGACATTACACCCTCTCACAGATATGGGAGACATGGGAGACCCTCCAAAAAGTAAGGCGGAATTTTTACCGTTCTTGGAATAAATGTGCTCTCTGTTGTGATGGTCTCAGGCAGGCGAAGCGCTAAGGAGCGGAACTTCACTTCARTGGTAGAGAAGGTGTCTTTGTTGCCATGCCTGCATGTTTGCTGTGTTTTAACCTCGTATGTTAATAGCATAGCCTGGGGTCCTGCTCTATTTAAGGTTTGGGGAGCCGACAGGACCTTAAGGGGTCCTCCAGCCACGAAGCCTTAAATTCCCTTCGTGCTAGAGCGCAGACCTGGCTTCCCAGCCCGGCCGGGGGACGAGCACGGGACTTGCCAAAGAGCAAGTGACAACCGTAACGATGCTTGTTGTCGCTAGCAGCCTCCAGCCCCGTCCTCCACGGCAAAGGGAATGGGAATGCGCACCCAGCCACGCGTTCACCGTTCCCAGATAGAGCCTCTTTTAAAATAATGCGGTCAAACGCATAGATGCTCTCCTCGTAAGGAAAGGAATCGCAGCAAAGAAACAGTGAAATAAAAGATAAAGCGACGAGGCAGTTTGGAGTTTTGATGCCGTACAAGGCTGGCGGAATGAGGAGCTGCACCTCKAAGACGGTTCACATCTACATTTGCCATATATTCCTCCTCCTCTCCAAAAGAGGCAAGGTTTTGATGGCACACTTCAATTACCATCCAAAAGTGTAATATTCTTAAGAAAGAAAGAAAAAAAAAAAAAGAAAAAAACTCCCAGAGTACGCCCTATAAGGGAACGATGCTAAAAGTATGTTTATCTCTGTAGGAGAGTAAACGGTTAGTCAATCATGTATTTATTTTCATTTCAGAAAAACGTCTGATTTCCCTATGTGTTGGTTGCGGCAATCAAATTCACGATCAGTATATTCTGAGGGTTTCTCCGGATTTGGAATGGCATGCGGCGTGTTTGAAGTGTGCAGAGTGTAATCAGTATTTGGACGAGACCTGTACGTGCTTTGTTAGGGATGGCAAAACCTACTGTAAAAGAGATTACATCAGGTACGCCATTTACGTTGTTTAATTATTCGGTGAGATTTTTTTTTAACTTTATAAATCTGAGAGAGACAGTAAGAGAAAAAAAATATGGAGGAAGAGGGCGAAAGGACGATTGTGATATTTTAAGTGAATGCCCCAAAGGTAAACAGATGAAGGGGGAAAAGTTCGAGCCGACAAGTTTTTAATGGCCTAAATTAAAATGCAAATCTCTGTATAAATAAAAAAACACATTCGGCGGCAGCTAGTGACTGTGTGGGACCCTCCTGAGGATTTTGGGAATTTCTCTATGATTCTGACAAAGTGGGAAACAGTATGAAACGGCGACTGTTTCCACTGCTAGCAGCGATTAGGAGCAACATGGAGCTGAGCGCTTTCAGCCCCAAGCCGGGAAATGCATCTTTGTGTGTTTTGCAAAGGCACAGGGGCTTTTATAAGGAAAGCATCTCGAACAAGTAAAAATAAATCCATGGGCAAGCATCCCTACTTAAACCAGGCCTGTAAAAAACAGCAGCAACAAAACAAACAAAATCGAAGTTTCTTTTAGAAGGAGGGATCCGTTTATAGAAAAGTTAAAACGTAGTCCGAAATGTTTCTTCTCTAAAATAACTGACATTTAATCTTTTTAAATATTAACCCCTTTGGTGATATCTGACTGCCTTTTCTTTCTTATCTTATCTGTACTGATGAATTAGACAGAGCAGATCAAATTGCCCATCATCTGTTCGCGAACAATTGGGTATATTTAGATAATGGAACCGCTTCCTTCCTCACATTAAAATCTGGTAACTGATAAAATGTGAGAGTTGCCAATCCTGACACTACAGAGAAACCAAAGCAGGAATTTCGAGTGTGTTTATTATTTGTACTACTGGGTCATGGCGATCCGTTTTAATAGCGTCTACTTGGTTTGCCAAACCAGAACTTTGCATTGAGGTATGGACACTATTTTGTTTACGGAAAGTTTCAGGAGCAAATATCTCCCACCTAAGGCACCTTTCTGATTTCCTTGTAATTCTGAATTGAAATAAAGAAAATCTTTCCTTCTCCATCGCACAATGCGCAAGCAGATCTTTCCTGTAAGCTATTTTGTGAGGTTGTTCTCAAAGTTTTGCTATCGCCAAAAGCAACCCACTCGCTTTCTTTGGCATTACTTTTAAGTGCACTTTGCAACGGTGCTTTTAAACGTCGTCCTTTCGCTGATTGCAAAAGAAGGGAGCACGTTGGGGAGTGAGATGTGCTCACTCAACCTATTGCAAGAATTCGGCGCTCATAGTTTAAACAACAAAATTTGCAACTTTTTAACGTTTCCAAGTAAGAAGTTTCGTTTGCTACAATATTTAAAATAAGAGCTATATATTATGTGCGAGTCGACTTTGAATTATACTTTCACCTAATATATAATTGTCAGACATTTGGGCAATCCCCSCTACCAACTTTTCTACCCATTAATGCCTAGACTTGGCGGTGACTGTTCTTCGGCGGTTTAGCCGTCATTTTTTTTTCACAGAACGACATAATTTGGTGGTTGGTGCGGCTGAATATATAGACAAAAGCTCTAAAGTCGCGCCCAAATAAACACCTATGTCCACGAATATATATCACAGACTATGTCTCTAATGAAGTGGAACGCGAGGTGTATGAATATTAATTCAGATTTAAGAGCAGTCCTTAAGGGTATGTGGCAAGTCTGCGTGTGTGTGTGTGTGTGTGTGTGTGTGTGTGTGCGTGCGTGTGCGTGTGTGTGTGCACATTTAATTGTGGAATTATGTTAACTGCATTAAATGCCGAGGAAGCTGGTTGAAGTGGGAGCCGAGGCTGTGCAGCTGTAGGAAAGGAAGCTGGAACAAATTCCCATGTTCACCTAGTGATGGGTGAGCTGCCCCCCCTCTCTTGCACGGGGACAAGGACCCTGCCACCCCCTCCAGCGTGTGACCCCAGAAACGCATTATTTGTTCCTCAGAGTTGTCGGCGAGAGGTTTTCCTTCCTTTCGKGCAGGAAGACTCAATTCAAGGTGGGAGAAAGAAGGAGAAGGAGTTGTGAGGTTGAATTATGAGAAGGCTTGTAAAGCCAAAGCCTTGGAAATGCATTTTAGCAAGGGCGACTGGGGGAGGAGAATTACASTAACATCTATGTGCGCGCGCACATATAGAGACGGGTGTGTGAGTGTGTGTGTGTAAATAAAAATTTGCAAGTAGAAAAAAAATGCGGTGAAAAAAGGGTAATGGAAAGGGCCGTGCTCCCTGGCAGAGCCACTGCTGCCGTGTCCTAGAGCGCGAACGGCCAGGACGCCGAGTGCCCCTGTAGAGGCACAAGACCCGAGTGGGGTCCGCACAGAAAGAGCAGCTTTTGGCGGGGCTGGCGCGTTGCTGTGAAGGGAGAGCAATGTGAGGGACTGGCGGCTCAGCCAGCTTCCCCTTCCCCGCTGTACCTGGGCGGTTTGGTCAGCTCTGGGATAAGCTAGGTCAGGAGCGCMCAGGAGGGAGGGAGAGGGCAGGGATGTCCCCTCGCCTTGTGCAGCCCGGGCTCCGGGAGAAGAGGGAAAACTTGACATCCCTYCTCCTCCCTCTCTCCTACCTCTCCGGCCGCTCCCTTCCTTTCCCCTCTCAGCTCACAGGGGTGCCCAGATCCCCGTTGCGTTTCGCAGCAGGGGGGGATCTGGGCATTGGCAGCAACCGCATCCGTTTTATTCCTTCCCCCTCCTGGCTTCTGTATTTTTAAGGTTTGTTTAACTAGTGAGCTGCGTGTGGCGCGTCTAAGTGGGGCCACGGGGTGCCCAGGAGCGGGAGTGAAAAACCTTTCTTTTTTTCTCCCCTTCCTTTCTTTCTTCCTTCCCCCTCACCCCCCCCCCCTATCTTTTTCTCCTGCCCTCCCCTTCCCCCTCCCGCGCTCTCCCTCCTTCCTCTCCTCTCGGGGCCGGGCCCTGCTCAGGTTATACGGCATCAAGTGCGCCAAGTGCAGCATCGGCTTCAGCAAGAACGACTTCGTGATGCGCGCCCGCTCCAAGGTCTATCACATCGAGTGCTTCCGCTGCGTGGCCTGCAGCCGCCAGCTCATCCCGGGCGATGAATTCGCGCTGCGGGAGGACGGCCTCTTCTGCCGGGCGGATCACGACGTGGTGGAGAGGGCCAGCCTGGGCGCGGGGGACCCGCTCAGCCCGCTGCACCCCGCCAGACCGCTGCAGATGGCAGGTACTGCCCCGGCCCGCCCGGCCCGGCCCGTGGGGGGCCCCCGAGCCGCCTTTGCTGGGGGTCCGGGCGCCGGGGCAGCAGCCGGGCGGCGCCCACGCCTGTCCGCGCGATCCCGTGGGCTGCGGAGCTGGCGGCGGCGGGGGCGTCCCGCGGGCGGGACCCGCGTCCTCAGCGCCTCCTGCAGCGCCGAGGTGCCTCAGTTTCCCCCTTGGGCCCCGGGGCATTAGGACGCCAGGGCCCTTTCCGCTCAGCCCCGAGAGCGTGTGGAGGAGTCGCTTTAAGCCCTGGTGGAAACGGGTCCGAAGCAGACAGACTTCATAACTACAGGCGAGCACTCAGGCTGTAATTTAAAACTGTCAACAAGMTAATCTTCAGTAATTGCCTTTTAAAGTGACTCTGCCTTCTTGAAACGCATTGTGTGATTTGAAGAGAATTTCTTCTTAAAACTCGGCATTGTTGCTTCGGACCCGACACACCTGTAAGTTTCCTGACACTTTTAGTTCTCAACGTGTACGTTAGACACTCTGAAAGGCTCAGCTTCAGGAAAGGGCTCGTCCCTTAAGGACAAGATGGCAGGGAATGGTGCTGTGCCAGTGACTGTAGCTGGAAAACTTGTTTACAAACTCAGTCATATGTAAATGGGAACGTTTCCCGCTTCTGAACTACCTTCAAGTGACGTATCTATATATAGCCAAAAAATCACGTAGCTGATGGATGCAGAATTTTAGAGAGATGGTGCGTGCTTCCAGCTGCGGGTTTGTGCACGTCTCAGGAAGGCAGATGTGTCTGCACGCAGAATATTTGAAGTATKCTTATTATCTTCATTGAATTTACTATTTTACTACTACTACTACTACTATTATCAGAGGAGTCGAAACACGACTGTGCAAAACACCTCTGAATATTAGTCAGACAAGCTTTTAGGAAAAAACCCACTGTTTTTATTTTTCCCTTCACTGGGTCAAATTACATCTAGATAGTTGTAGCTACATAATACACGGAAGAATAGCAGGATCATACCAATATATTTAGCTCTTGATGAGACATTATCCATTGGTTTGCCTTCCCTGWCGGTTTCTATGCGTTGCTAAGCTTGCTCCCCTTTTAAAGAGCTGGCTAAACAGACGTATTTTGTAAGTGTTCATCAAAAGTTGACACAAATTCACCTGGCACCTCCGCTTTCTAAAATAGACCCCTGTYTCCCGAGCTCCCGGATATGGGTCTCTCAAGAGATTTTTTATCACAGTCAGAGTGCAGCAGATTTTGGCTGGTTTTGCTCTGGTTTGGAAGCATCAAACCGCTGTGGGCTGCTGCAAGTTATTGTAGCCTCTGGCAAAACTGAGTTAGATCCAGTATGCAAGAAGCAGGCTGGAATTAAGATTAATTTTGAAAGTATTCTTTTATTAATTTTCCGGCCAAAAATCTGCTTTGGTGATTTGTCATGAAATAAGTRCATAGAATCCTCCCCTTCCTTTCCTAGCGCACGCACACTTCAGCGATCACTCCCTCCCCTGTCAAAGCTCACACAGGTTTAAGCTTCTGTCATTAAGGGTTTTTTTTTTTTTTTCGGAGGGGAAGGGGAGAGGAAGAGGGGGCGAGGGTTTTTTTTTTTTGCAAATTACTTAATTCTGGAGACAGAAATGTCACTCCTGTCACCCTACGGGGGCATAGAAACGAGGAGGCTGCAGGAGCTCCGACGGGAGCTGCCTGCTTGAACGCCCTTTGCAAGAGGGTTCATCACCCCCTCCCAAACCACCTCCCCTTAACTCGCTCGCTTACCTCGTAGCTTCTGCAGGCTCCTGCCTCCTACTTATGGGGATCCTCTTCCTCCCTCCCCCTTCCCTTACAGCAGAACCTATCTCTGCCAGACAGCCAGCTCTCCGACCCCACGTTCACAAGCAGCCCGAGAAGACCACYCGAGTCCGGACTGTCCTTAACGAGAAGCAGCTTCACACCTTGAGGACCTGCTACGCCGCCAACCCCAGACCCGACGCCCTCATGAAGGAGCAACTGGTAGAAATGACTGGCCTCAGCCCGCGGGTCATCAGGGTTTGGTTTCAAAACAAGCGATGCAAGGACAAAAAAAGGAGCATTATGATGAAGCAACTTCAGCAACAGCAGCCCAATGACAAAACTGTAAGTGGCTTCAGCCTCTGACCAGCGCGCTGCCTTCGTGCCCGCGGCAGAAACGCGTGGGCTACGTCCACCCCGCCAGCCTCCGGGGGCTGCTCTGGCGCTTTTGATTTTGTGGGAGCTCCGCTAAAGCAAGCAGCGTAATACAGCTTAAAACTTATCTGTTCGGTTTGTTATCAGTGCAATTAAAACAGACCATAGCGAGAAGCCGATATAGGCTGCTCAAGCAAACACATACCTTTTTTTTTTTTTTTCTCTCTCTCTCTCTCTTTTTTTTTTTTTTTTTTTTTTTTTTTTTTTTTTTGGAGGGGGTGGGTGGGCGCTGAGAGGTCTGCGCGGATTAGAGTAACTTCTCTGCAGCATGAATTGTGCCCTGTAGAGCTGGGTTTATGGGATATAATAAGCCTAGCCTTGTGTAATATTTTTATTGCAAATGCGAAGGACTCCTTGAGGGGAAAAGAGGCATTCGCTGTCTTCAGTGTCTTCAATGGTTTTACAGAGGAGTAAAACCCAAGAGTAAAAGTGAAATCTGATGTATTTTCATAGCACTTTATATGCTGTAATCTGTATGTGGGTGTCTGTCAGTGCACGTACTGTAGAAAAAAAAAAGAAGAATGCGATAGAAAGGTCTGGATTTATTCATCGTGCGTACAGACTATATATAAATATATATATACACATATATATTTCTCGCGTAGAAATATCGAGGTCTTGTCTGTGGGCATTCTTGAGTGGTGCAAATAAGGGGGTTCAGCATAGCAACCTGGCGGTCTCTATTTTAAACCAATATTTTATTATTTTTTTCTCCTGTTGGTTTTAGCCCACTCGAAGAAGAGTCTGTTATTCTCCCTCTGTATATTGACTGACCTGAGAATGACTATTAATTCATAAGGCTGCCTAGTTAAGTAGAATTTAAGGAGTTTCATTTTACGCTGTTGGAATGCAATAAAACACGATGTTATTAACTCGCCTGAACAATCTATTCGTCGAGGCTTGCAGTTATTTTGTACACAGTGGCCGCACCACGGGACATACTGGGAGGGCTGGGGGTTTCTTTTTCCTTGTGTTTTTCTTTTTGGAAAGAGAGCGGTACTAACGCACCCTAGGTTTACTGCGCAGTGGATATATGATCCAGTTAAGGTCACGCAGAACAAAACCAGCCTGGGTGCAAGATAGAAAGGCGGCATTAACCATTTCTTGTGCTGAGCCCTGCATCGGCAGCGGAAATAGAGCGCTCGCGGTTAAGAAGTCCTTTTTTTCCCCTTTTCTTCCCCACCTCCCCCCCTCCTTCTTTTTTTCTTTTTTTCTTTCTTTTTTCTTTTTCCTTTTTTTTTTTTTCCTTAATTTCTTTTTTTTTAATGCTTTGAGGAAAATACGAGGATTAAAGGGAAAGAAAGTAAACTTCCACAGTGATAAATGCAGCAGGTAGAAATAGGCTGACCTAGAGCAGAATAGAGTAAGACATTCACAGCAGATTAACAAAGCAAATACAAGCGACTGTATAGATAAGATAGAAAGCAGTTTATTGACTCAGCGCTTATATACAATAAAGTTAACCAAGCTCATTAACATCTTTTGCTGGGCTGTTTACAGAATATCCAAGGGATGACAGGAACTCCGATGGTGGCTGCTAGTCCTGAGAGACACGATGGTGGTTTACAGGCGAACCCAGTGGAGGTGCAGAGTTACCAGCCGCCTTGGAAAGTACTGAGTGACTTCGCATTGCAGAGTGACATAGATCAACCTGCTTTTCAGCAACTAGTAAGTGTCAGTTCCCAGCCTGAATAGGCCAGTGTCTACCCGGGGGCAGAGCCATGGGGGATTCTCTAAAGCTGACGGATGCCCGCAGAGAGATGGAGCAATTCAAATCAGCCAGGTTTTCSTGAAAGTACAAGGCGGGCAATTACAATAATGTGAAAACGCATAAATGCAGCAAATTCAACATTCAGCGGGGCTAGATGCAAACCCTACCGTTGTCACCAGCAGAGTTCTTATTGATTTAAGTAGAATCTGGGTGAGGCCTAACCCAGGCCTGAAAATACACCAGTTTCCCTGCTCCTGAAAACCAAAAGCACCTCTATCCAGAGGACAAAAACTTCCTTCTTGTGTCGTTTAATGTTATATATATTTATGAAAGCAGTTTTAAAAATTTGATCCCCAGCCACTTTCAGCTTTAAAATATAGGATGGATTTTAATTATAGGGTTGCAGTACCAGCCCGTGTCCTTGTTTTCTCACACAAACAGGAATAGTTTAATTGAATTGTTGAAACCCTTGTTTTACACGTGTGCATCTGGATATAACTTTGTGTAGATATAAATATGGATATATGCACATATGTATGTATATGTATGGAAACACATATATATACACATACATGCATATCTCTGGTATATATGTGTTGTGTCTTGGAAAGGGAATTGTTAATATGTGGTCACATGCAAAAGCAAAACAATATGATCAACTGCCTTAAGCCAAAAGAAAACAGACATTTTAGAATAATTTCTGTTCTTAACTCACTTCCTTATGCCTACGTCATTTGGCAGCTCATATGGGACCATATCATCTGCAATACTTAGGCCCAACAAGGTGAATTAAGGACAGAAGTTCAGCCTTAACTCAATTTCCTGGCCTAAGTGTTAAAACCAGATCTTTAAAATAATAAGGTACGTTGTGTATGGTTTTTCAGTGATTCAGAATAATAACTGATGATGCAACATTACTATATAGACCATTTTTTAATTGGTTGGGTGTTTTTCTTCAACATGAATTGACTCAAAGTAAGGATTTGTAGCTATGCCAAGAAATGTTTTCAGGCTGTTTCAGCTTAGTGTTCCACTCTTTTCTGGGATTTTTCTTTTCGGGGTCTGGCTAATTTGCAGGCTCCCGCGGCACGCTGCGTGCTCCGGAGCACAGCCGCTTGCACCACCTCGCCTCCAGAGCAGCCACTGGTTTTTTTCTGCTTTAATCAAGCTGTCAAGCAGCCTCAAGAAAAATTGATCTCTTTCGGCTACCTTATTTATTGTGCCTTAACACAACAAGACTTTAAAAGCTTTGGTRTAGTTTTTTTTCTAAGGAGTAGGTCTAAAAGCAGAATTGAAGGTGAATATCCCAAATAGACAYATGCATAGGGATAGAGATGGATGTTGATATATTTGGGGCCTCATCTAGACAAATAGTTAAAGAACTGTGGACAGAAGAGATAGCTCAGAGACCATTCACGCCACTGTTTGCCCGTCTCTAATCTTGAAAGGGCCTTAATCACGGGATGGGCCAGCTAAATAGGTGCCAAGGAATTGCACGTGGATTAGGCAGGCTACATGCTTCAAATCTCTCTTCCCAAGGCTGATTCTGACCTAAAGGGAGTTGTGAGGCTTATTAGAATGGAAAAGCATCTTTTTTTTTTTTTTTTTTTTCTTTCCCACAACTAACTCTTGTTAGAAAGAGATGTCTCCCCTTCCAAAGATCATTTGGATCAAAAGGATGAAAGATGATTTGCTTAAAGGAGGGTATCTTCTGCTCCTGAATATTTGCCCCAGGTTTAGTGTAATATGTGCACAAGAGGGGAAGAAATAACCTTGCAGTCTCGTGTCAGAAAACACTTGAGATCCTAAATAATTGACTAGAACATCCTGTTGGGACTGCCACTCTTGCAAGATGTTGAAGGCCTCATTAAAGTGTTTGTTTGTTTATTTACTCGATTTTTTTTCCTGATCTGATTTCTTTGGTTATTTGACCGAAAGCCTGAAGAAGATTCCAATGAAGTTAGTGTGGAAACTAAACAAAACAACAAACAGTGACACAGCCTCCTACTGAGATGTACCAGGCCTTTCAGCCTGTATATTTATTTTTGCTATCTTCTTCACCCCTCATGCTTCTTTTCTTTGATTGTTACAGTTGTAACAATTCTACTTTTTCTTATTTTTCTTCTTTTTTTTTTTTTGGCAGGTTAATTTTTCAGAAGGAGGACCTGGTTCCAATTCCACTGGAAGTGAAGTAGCATCAATGTCCTCTCAGCTCCCAGATACACCCAACAGCATGGTAGCCAGTCCTATTGAGGCATGAGGAACATTCATTCAGATTTCTGTTGTTGTTGTTTCTGCCCTTACCCTCACCCCTGTTGGAGAGAGTGGGAAAGTGATCACGTTGGGACTCCAAAATGTAGGGGGAAAATTATTTAACAACCCTGTAATGAACCTAGCAAAGAACCGCTCCATGAGATGAACGGAGTCTTGTTTGAAATGACAAGGTAATATGGTAGCAACACTGTGAAGACAATCATGAGATCTTACTAGAATAAATATAAAACAGAAGTCCACGCTATTCAATGATCAGAGGAGGATTGAAAAGACGATTTCAAAACGTAGAGGATTTGTACTCATGGATCTAAAAAAAAAGAAAGAAGGAAGGAAAAAAGATAAATTCTTTTTTATTTGACTGCACGTCTTAGAGAGTAACCAAGGCAGAGGGACTTTCTATCTAGTCCATCCTAATCTGAATGGTGCTGTTTCTATATTGGTCATTGCCTTGCCAAAAGGAGCTCCAATAGGTTTTCCATCATCATGAAAGGGACGATTTAGCCCCGCATTGTTGAAAGATTCATTGCAGGAAGGAGGAGCTGCGTTGGTTTGGTTTGCAATGGTGTTCTTTTTTTCTTTTTCTTTTTTTTTTTTCCTTTTTCTTTTCTTTTTTTTTTTTTTTTCAGTTGACTCTTGACATCGCGTTGTTTACTGGGTCTCTTATACCATGTGCTGTTGCGGGGTTTTGATTTTTTGTTTGGTTGAGATCCATCCTCTATCAAGTATGAAGCGATTAAAAATAGATTTTTAAATTCCTCGTTCGGAACCAATTTATAAAAGCATTGCAACAAGGTATACCTCTATTTTGCCACAAAGCGTCTCGGGATTGTGTTTGAAATGTGTCCGTCCAAGAACCTTCCCCTCCCCCAAAGATGTGTATAGTCATTGGTTAAAACGACTGTTTTTCTCTCTTTCTCTCTCTCTCTCCTTCTCTCTCTCTAGAAATAAAGAGGAAAAAAAAAAAAGAAAAAAAAAAAGAAAAAAAAAAGAACCCCCACCCTATTTGTTTGCTCTTGCATTGCAAAATTATAAAGTAATTTATTATTTATTATCGGAAGACTTGCCACTTTTCATGTCATTTGACTCTATTTTTTGTTTGCTGAAGTAAAMGGAAAAAAAAARRAAAAAAAARRAAAAAAGAAAAGGTTGTATCGTGGTCTTTGAATTATATGTCTAATTCTATGTCGTTTTGTCTTTTTTTTTTCTTAAATATTATGTGAAATAAAAGCGCCATATGTAGAATTATTATATCTTCAGGACTATTTCACTAAATAAGCGTTTGGAATAGAGAAAATAATAATAATAATATTAATATTAAATAATGAACAAAGTTCCCTCTTCTAAATATTTACAAGTTAGAAGCTAAAATACCTGAAATAAAATATTGCATGCAAAGCAGGTCGTTATTAAATGAAATCAGTGTGATATTTTATTGCAAGTATTGACGACCAGCTTGTAACTTTCCGTTTCCACAACTGTATCAGGGCTAGTTTGATGCCTTAGCTTTCAATTGATAACATTAGAATCTCTCTCTCTCCCTCCCTCATCCCTTGCCCTTGAAAGTGATGTTACTCTAGGCATGATCTGACATAATGTTAAGACATCTAAAGAACTGGGAGTTCAGGCTTTTTGCTGGGCTCTGTTATTTTTTAAAAATAATAATAAAAAGAAAGTGCTGTATACCAAAGCCTCGTTGTTGAGATTGTTGAAGTGACCTGTACTTTAAGTATAAGCTCCTGATAAAAGGGACGCTTTTTGCTTAACAAGTCAAGTATGACCATTATTTATCAGTGTCTGCTGTCAAAATGATTGAGAAATGCTGCAGGAGGAATAGGGTTGAGGGGGATATTGCTGTGAAATTGCRCGATCGGTGTTCCTTATTTTCTGTCCGCTTCCCTCTCTTCACTCCCTCTTTTCTTGCTTTTTTAATTTGCGGGGGAGGGGGTGGTGAAAGCTAGAAGCGCGGGCGATTTCTCGGGGAAAAGAAATAGAAAAAAAAAAGTTGTTTTTCCTCCAAACCGATGTTCCTTAGTGCTCCAGGCCAGCACCAGACAAAGGCTCGCTTAAAAAAAAAAAAAAAAAAAAAAAAACCCTTACGACTGGAATATACAGAGATTTTTAGTCTGACAAAGACAAGTTGCTTTGCATGACAGTTACTCCAAAGGCTAATGTTTTCTTAACATAACCTTCTTTTTCCTCCCTCCTCACCATCTCAGCCCACCCTGAGCAAGCTCAGCTATAGAGACAAACCTTTTCGACAGTAGAGAGAAAGCTAAAGCTAAAAAAAAAAAAAAGTCAAATATAAGGATTTCAATTATCCTGATTAGAAACTGGATTCATTTTGTATGCTCAAGTGTAATACATTTTTTGAGTACTTGATAAATATTTAAATAAATATGAAATCTACCTTAAACTGTGTGCCCAGTAACCCTTGTGTTTCCACGCAGGCTCCGAGGCTCGGCCCGACGCCACGGGGGGCGGGAGGGCGCGGGGCGCATTTCTGCGCTCACCTGTGAGTTGTCCGAGCCCTCCGCGCTTGGGGGGGGGGGGTAGAGGGACCCCTAGCCCCACTCTTGGGGGGCTTCTCGTGGCGGGGCCCTGTCCAGCTGGGGCTGCCGCGCGGAAGCTGCGGGTTCCGCGCAGGGCGCGGGGCCCGGCGCGCAGCGGGACAGCTGAATTTCGTCTCTCGCCCCCCGTGCCCGTCCGCGTCCCGCGCTCATCTCCCGGGACTCTCGTGGCTACGCGGTGCTCGACGTGAGGCAGGAAGGCGCCACCGATGTCCCCGCGTGGCGGAGGGAAAGACAGCGCCGGGCTCGCGGGGGCTCGGCCGCGGGAGCGCAGCGGCTTCTGCTGCTCTGCCTAAATAAGCCCGGCAGAGCCGGAGCCGAGAGCTGGTGTCTCGGTGCTGCCCGATCCCTCCGAGGCGTTCGACCCCCGGCTTCGCCGCGGTCCCGTCGCGCAGACCCACGGCAACTTCCATTCTCACGCTAAAGCAATAGGTTTTTTTTTTTTTTTT